CGATTGCATATTTGCTGTGTTTTTCCGCATGGTACGTTGTAATAAACAAAACAAAAGATTGAATTGAGAGCGTCAGTCAACAAGCGAGCTCGACACGATATAACGAATGGAACCGCTGCCAAGAGCAAACGATCGAAAGTCCATATTTGTTTAAACAAATTCGACACGAGAGAAACGTATTTTCTCGAAACGTTTCCGGGCTTGACGTTCCATTTCTGCATGTTCGAAGCCACCAGTCGTTAATTATCTGTCCCGTTGCTGTGTCTCTCGCATCTTTTGATAGACGTAACCTGATTTCCATCGAAAAATCTAGCCTCGTGTCACGTTAGATGAAACCTAGTCAATAATTATATCCGTCGTGTGACAGAAAAGGGTCGTTCCTTTTCGAAGAACTTGCTACGACCAACTTAATTACGTAGCAGAACATGATCGGCTCTCGATCAGCAGAGCTTTTTAGGATTTTGGAAATTACAGAAGCGATCTCTCGCTTCTTATATATGTGACATATATAATTAATTCCGTTTAAGCATATAGTTTCGTACTTTCTTTCAGCGTTAATCATATAATATTGATAATACTGATATAGTATTTGTCATATTTAATTTCAAGGTTGTAAAATTAAAGGCTAAGAAGTTTCTGATTAAGGGGCCGTCCTGAATTAGAATGTATTAAAACAGCGTTTCCTTTGTGATTTTTTTTTAGAAGAGAAAGAAAGAAATGAAGTTATTGAATTTTGAGGTATGATTTTATATATATTTAAAGAATAGAAAAAAATTTTTTTTGAAGAAAAAAAGTTATAACAGATTTCTAAGCCTATTTCATGGGTGTCTTGTCGCCGCAGGGCGGGAAAGATCCACCTCGTACTTCTTGACAGAAACAAAACACCAAAAGAGGATTAAATTATTATATATTTTTCTTCTGGATGAACTAAACAACGGCAGAAAAAAGTTTATTTAAATAATTGTTATAACACCTTAAAGTCTATTTTTTTTTTAAAAACACTTTTTTTTGTACCCGCCAAAATTTTTCATTTCATATTTTTTTCTACCGTTGTTTAGTTCACCCAGAAGAAAAATATATAATAATTTAATCCTTTTTTGGTTTTTATTCCCGTCAAGAAGTACGAAGTGGATCTTTCCCGCCCTGCGGCGACAAGACGCCCATGAAATAGGCTTAGAAATCTGTTACAATTTTTTTTCTTTAAAAAAAATTTTTTTCTATTCTTTAAATATATATAAAACCATACCTCAAAATTCAATAACTTCATTTCCTTTTTTCCCTTCTAAAAAAAATTACAAAAATGCGCTGTTTTAGAATATTCTAATTCAGGACCCGCCCTTACAATTTTTAGCTATTAAGGAATTAGGGTAAGAACGAAGATTAGGGATTAATTTTTATTGATCTTTTAATTAATAATATACAATACACGATGTAAATAATCTTGTAACATCTAAGTAAGTTGTAAGTCAATGTTGTTACTGATTCTTCTGTGAGATAATAAATAGAAGCGTAGAAAATATCGATCAAAAGTTGCTTGGTCGAGACGCGAAAGAAGCGCTGAAAGTGCAAAACTCGCATTTTATCCTCCGTTTCGTAAAAGTTTGGCGTAGCAAGCATACATCAGAATAAAGAAGCAAGTGGTGGTCTGTAGCTAGCGAATAATTGTGTTCGAGATGCACCTCGCGAACAGTAGATAAAAAATCCTAAAAATCCTGAAGTTTTATTAGCCAAGTTCAAGACATCTTTCTTCAAAAGTATCGTTTTTCCCCGATATCCTACCCAAGAGAAATGAATTTGATCTTCAAGTTTTCTTCCGTCTTAAACTTTCAAGCCCTTGCAATTTGAATTAATTAATAGAATTAGCATTTTACATAAAACTATATAATTTTATACAGGATTAAAATCTTACATTACAATTTTCTTATACGTGTGTCGCACAAATTAGTGTCGCATAATTCTGTAAATTTTTATAGAATCTTTTTAAAAATTGTATATCGTATATGCATATTTGTTATATCTACACAAATTTATTATACATCTAAAAATGTATATATGTAAAATAGTTTATATTTTGTGAAAATTCATTTCCCACAGCACTATAACCTTAAAAGCTTTTAACCCTTGACTGATATTCTTGGGTCATGGGTAACCACAATTTGGGTTAGAGTTAGGTTGGATTACTTAATTTTAATCTTCATCGAATTTCATTTAAAGTATACGAGGACTATTAATAAAATTTATCGTACAAAATATAGAATACCAGATAAAATCGGATGTTCTGAAATTAAGGAACCTGTAGCTCAAATTATTGTGGTTATCTGTAACATGTATAATTCAGCTGAGAGCATGGCATTCAATTAACTTTCAATTCTTCTAAAATACCACAATTATTCTACCACTTTTTTCTTCTCTCTATGTTACTTCAAACGTAAGAAATGTTGCTATCCTCCTTACAAGGATATGATAATACCTTCGGATAAAGATACTTGTTCTCCAAACCTTCAAAACTCCTATCGAAATCACCCACTACAATTATACATTACAAACCAAAATCTCTACTAAAATTGCAATTATTCTTTCGCTTATCTTTCTTCCCACGCTATTTCAATCTCAACAAACCTTCTCATTCTTGGTCCAGACATACAACAACGTCTTCGAATTAAGATATTCGTTCTCCAAATGTTTTCAGAGGTATCACCCTAAAGTCCCATGAAACTCATCTACTGCATTTATACATTGCAAGTTCCTACCAAAATCTCCACTAAAATTGCAATTATTCTATCAGTTTTCTTTCTTTCTATATTATTTCAATCTTAACAAACAATGTGCTTCCTCTGGAGGTGCAACAGTACTTTCATATTAAGATAGTTCTTCGTTACATTTTCCAACTGTGCCATTTAAACTCCTATCAAAATCGTAAAATTGAGAGAAAACTCTTGCTCGAAAAACAAAGGTTCGTCCTTCGATATCCATCATCTTGCGAGAAATCCAGGAAAAACACATCCCAGCATCAATAAGATCTCTCAATAAAGGGTCTGGAATCTGCTGGTCGTCTGTTTTTTCTCGTTCGAAACTCGACGGTTTGGGGATGGGTAAAGCGAGGAGTCGAAGAAAACATTTCAACTCGGATTACCAGCTCGGTTATTCGTGTCCCTTTCTCCTCGTATCTTCTTCTTCTTCCTTTTTTCTCGTCGGACCAGTGGAACGGATCCGATCGGATAGTTTTTGGCAGAGGCGCCCCTACCCTCTGCTAGGATTACGCGAGAGAACCGATCGTTGATTAAAATCTCGAAAGAAGCGGAATTACAGCTTTTCGCAGGGGACGCCGTTTAATCTCCTCTTCGCGGCGTTGCTTTTCGTTGTTCGGTCGGTTTCCACGAATCCCCGTTGCACCAACTGATCTCGAACGTTTCCGTTTCGTCACCCTGACCAGCTGCAGACCAACAGTTTGCCTCTTCAGCTAGCAATTCTCCAAGAAAACGACCCAACTCGGCGAACGGCTTTTGAAACTACACAACTTTTACATCCTGCCTCTTTCTCTTTCTTCATTTTCTCTTCCATTTATAGTTTGACGCTTTAGGTGGTAGAACTGTTGGTTTAGTGATGGATAAGACACGTGCTTTTTAGGGGTTCTAAACCTTCGGATCTTTCACTCAGTTGTAGATCTAACTCTTATGATATTTTGTGACAGATTTCGAGGCGGTGGCCGATAGTCTCGAGTATGAGATTTTAGAATTGATTACAGTTGATGATCGTATTTGGTGCATTATGCAAATCTGCGAACATAATGTGTCTATGGATTCTTGATTATTACAGACACTACAATTACAAGCTTTGAACGATATTAAAAAATCAACTATTTAGTTTATATTAAATTTATACTTTATTTAATAATATTATTATTTAATAATAAGTGATTTGAATATTTGGCCTTAGTATAAGAAATATTTTATTTGTGATAGTAAACATACATTGAAATAATAAGAACGGAAACTTTACATGGAAAGTAAATTTAGTGTTCATAAGATAATGAAAAGATTGTCATAGAAAAGGATAAAGATTATTAATGAGAAATTATTAAAAAACGAATTATCTTTTTGGCGAACAGTACTACGTTGACGCGAATTTTGCGTTTCGTAGAGTTTAAAGTTGCACGTTTTCTGGTCCAGACATTTACTAACGAAGATAAATTATTCGTCGGCAAGCGGAGAGAAAGTGCGGGAATCGAGCAAATATAAGGAGGATTTGTAAACGAACGTCGTAAGGATTTTAGAGTTGCCGAAAACGCGAGACATACAAACGGAATCCTTCATTTTGTTGACCGGGAGTTGGCAGACGGATCTTTGGATAAAGGAGGGGAACGTCGAACAGAAATAATTAGGCAAACACCTATGTCGCACCGCTTTAATCAAACTTGATTTCAAATTTAACTTTACCAAACTTAACTTTTCATTTTTTGCCTCTAAAGAAATACTAGGTTGTCCGAAAAGTATCTTTCTTTTACAGACCCGTCTTTTACAACAACTCATCTTTATACAAACATAAACCTAATCTGTCAAACCTTGTGATCTTTAGTTTGAAAGAACAAAGTGGGTCATACGTAATTCGATAAAATAATATAAAACGGAAAATGTTATGCATCCATTATCTCCTTATAAAACGAAAGAAACTTTTCGGACGACCTGATATATTTATTTCTGGTCTCTTCAATTATAGATCACAATAACAATACAATATCCAATGTTAATATGTTTTACCAGCAATTATAATTTTCTGCATTTTCTAGCGCAATTAATTATTGAAGCAATCAAGAACACGTGTTGAGAGAAGTAAAATTTCATAAGCCAAATATAAATTTGTTTTCAACTGCCTTTTAAGAATAGCCGATATTCCACTATAATAAATTACTGTCATACGTATCTATTAACAATATTCTACCTATTCTATTAAATATTGATACATCGTTAAATACACTGGTTATTATTAATTATTATTAATACATTACATATATACTAACTGGAATTATTATTAACGTACTAATATTCCAAGAATATCCAACAATTCTCAGAAAATGAAACTATATCTCACAATTTCTGTTACGTTTACTCATAACTCTGTACAAACAGTATCCACGTGAAATGATCCCGTCATAAAAATTTCAGTGCTTCACGGTCTATCTACAATAACGAATGTAAAGAACAGAACATCAAGAACAGCCAAAAATCTCCATGTTTTTAGCTAGTATCCATGATACCTGCATAGACTCCAGGCAGTGGAGGGTTCATGGAATAAAAACTCGTCGAACGAGTGAATAATTCGATCGGGAAAGCAGCACAAGAGCATCGTGTTCCGAGCTAACGAGATTTGTCCTGACGCGATTCCCAGGCGTGCCAGCGTAAAAGTGCAGCCGAATGCGTAATTCGAGGAATTGAATTCCGAATTAACAGTTGGCAAGGGCCAGGCAAATCCGTAGAAAATGAAATTCCATCCGGATCAACGAGAGTCGAGTCTCGAGCGTACGCAACGACTTTGACGAGAAAGAGGTTACTCAATCCTCGTCGTATCGATGGTGTATCGATACTTTCCTAGAAGCATCGACGCCTTCAGCAAACTAGAACGAACAAAAATTAGACGTCGAACTTCGAGCAGGAGGATTGAGATAAGTTTTCTACCTTCTTCCATGTTATCGCCGGAAGTGAAGTGACCCACGTTTCAAAGAAAATACAGGTTCCATATGTTATATAGAATTACTTTGTTTGAATAGTCGTAATTTGTTGATTTTGAAATTAGTGGACTTACGTTAGTTGTTGGCTGAAACTAAATTTCATTGTGAATAGACGTATTGCATACATTATTTAAATGTTATCAATTTTTTAAATTTTAGTATGGAACAGTGAAATTATTCTGAGAATAAGAAAATGTTTCATTCACTCATTGATAATTACGTCCCACGATCAGTATATCTTCAAGATATTAGTGGTCATATATTCAACATATTCAAGAAGATATTTTCTACAAAACAGTTTTGAATTAGTACTAATCCAAAGTAAAATATTCTACTTTCTACCTTAATCTTTCCTACTATACCTGCTTCAGTGAACTGTGTTCGGTCCTTCCGTTGGCACCGGCAAATCAATTTATGGATCCGTATGTTCCAACTTATTTGATATAAATGATCGATATAATATCGATATAATTTCCGATCATAGTCCAGTTCTCGTATAACTCAAAATCACTTTACGCCACCAGCAGATGAAACAAAATTTTAAAAAACCAACCAGAAAATTCGCACAATAAATCAACAAATTTCTTTCGTGCAATCGAAATCAATAAACGATCGCGGAAACAAAGATCATTCGATCGAATCGGTTGGACGAAATCAAGCAACCCTTGTCCAATCGAGAGATTCGACGGATACAGGAGTCATGTTGGAACGATACGAGCCGGCTACAAATTTCCACGGGTCGACCAATTTAAATATGCATGAGGGACACACGGAGGCAAAAAAAAAAAAAAAAAGAGAAAGCAGAGGGGAAACGAGATCGACAGGCAAGACGAGGGTGACTGGGTTGTTTCGCGGCCGACCTCGTTAACCCCTATAGAAGAGTGTCTCGTCGGAAGTGACGAAGGCAGACGAGTTGCAGGTGGCAACAGAGCTGCTCTCACGGATTATCGCGAAGGGTAATCAGCTTTTGCCAGCGAGACCAGGCACGTTGCCGGCCACGGGGATTTATTATTTAGCTTCACGTTCAAATGAGTAAATTAAACGTCCTAGAGGGCGGAACCATGTCGAAGAAACGCTTCGGATGAGATTTTTTTTTTTATCTTGGTTAATGCCGATGGAAAGAATTTTTTAAGTCGTCTGGATAGTTCGTTGCTTGAACGTTGATGACTAGAATGCGGAGTTTTATACATTTGTAAGAAATTTGAAAGTGCAAAATTGCACAGAATGCATACAATATGAAGAAATGTGTAAAATATTCAAAGTATAGTGCTTCCTAAGATACATAGTAGGTAAAACAATCTTTTATCGAGATTCTACTTTTCTTTTTCACGTTCTCGAAAGTATGATAATTTGATATGATAATTTGCAGAAAAATCCGCAGTCTATTAATAACGTTGTTGATGTATAATATAAGAAATTGAATTGGTCAATATAATTTGATCAACTGACTTTTATGAGTGTTTTATTTTTTACTAATTTAAAATAGCTAATGTGATTAGAAAAACGTAAATTCATTTCTCTGTCATCATTTGACAAATTATTTGATTAATTATTTTTGAGTAGCGTTCATTTAAAGGATGATTATACATATAACTTTTATGTATTATAACCAGAAACATTGAAGTATACGAGTGGTGCAATAAATTATTTACTAAGTTGCTTACATTTACAATTTTTAAATATATTATAAAAACATTTAGTAGCCATAAAAAGAAGTATTATCTCGTTGAAATATCGATAAACAATCATAAATATCCTTAGGAAAACGACAATATATTCGAACGTAAAGCTTTCCTTGAACCGAAATCTACTTCTATCTTCATACATAAATCCATAGCACCCGTAAATGCATTTGCATTCTCGTATCGTATGGCACATAAACCTCGGGCAGGATAGATACTAATTTTTATGACGTGTCAGTGGAATTTAACGATCGTCGTAAACAAAAATCATAAAATTCCGCCGAGGAAATGTAGAGACCTGCCGAGCATCAAGTATTTTTAACGACTCGACGATCATTTCTTATAACTATCTAAAATGTCTTCAACCGAATAATTATATAAATATATATAATAAAACATGTAAGAGAGAATAATTAAGCCTTTTATATAAGCATGATCTTCCCGAATAGGATAAAATATCTTGACGTTAAAAATTTATAAAACATTAAACAGGAAAAGTGATTTAATATATTCATCTTATAATCTTAAGAATTCGCCATTAACGTACATTAATATTCTGTAAATTTTTATCTAAATCACCTCTTCATCTTCTTGCTACAGAACATACTAATTATATGATGGATGATAAAGTTTTATTTCAATAAAGATAGCTTTCCTATAGAATGTACGGTGTCTTTCGTAAGTGAGTGTAAGTATTCGACGTTATTAAATCATATAATTATAAATTTAATCAAATTAAAAAATACCAAATTATTGGCTCCTTTAGAATGGAAGCTGCTAACACGACTGCGTGTTGTCGTTGGTTGCTCGCGAATCGCCTGTACAGGGCGATACATCCGTGAATTTCATTCGCGTAGCCTTTATCAGCGGAGCTTTATCGTGACAGGGACGGCAAATCGTCGATCGAATATGCAGTGGGAACACCGAGGAAATTGACATCGATGTCGTCTGACCTCGTTTAGCTTGGAATCTGTCGGACGACGTCGATAAATTGCTACATGATCGCCGCGATAAATAATCGAATCGGGCGTTGGCTTGTCATTTCCGTGAGTCTGACGCGCCCGCATAATAACTTTCCGTTCTGATTAGTTTGACAATCAAATCAGACAGGAATGCCCGTCTTTGTGAGCTTGAATAAATCAGATTTATTTCGTGACGATCACTTCCGTCTTTTACCCCCTCGTAAAGATTCTTCTTCTCGTTATTCTATCGCTTCTTTCATATCAGGTTCGATTGGAAATCTTCTTATCGATTTTATTTTGAAAATTTGACTATTACTTCGACATTTGTTACTGCAAATGTAGAAAGATCATCGATGTAGTTAAAACTAAATTGCATTTGGATTATCATTGTATTATCGTCGTTTGTCTTTGGAGGCGGAATAGTCAAGTTTTACTGTCAATTGCAATTCAATTCATTTTAGTTATTTTGGTATTTGTTACTGAAGATACAGAAAAATTATTTTTACTACTTTATTTTACTTTTTTACTTTTGAATTTTACAATTATATCGTCATCCCTTATTGGCCTTAGGATGTAGAGTCGCCAGTTTCTATTATGCAATTTAATTCTGGATGATTCGAATTAACGTCAAATATAAAATGAAAGAAATCGCCATAGTTGAGTCTAACCAACGTGTTTCAATTACTGTGTTAAATTTGAAACGGAATCTCACATTTGAAAACAACGCGTCACCGAGCCTCTATTCGCAACAACAAAAATCGTGATAAAGTAACTCGTGACTAACACGAGATCGGTGCCCGCGAGCAATCGCGTGACCAAGAGACAGGTTAATTTAATTCTCCTACTCGCGACGCAGATTCAGCTCGTTTCTCAGAGCCACTAATCGGAAATTACTTCTAGCAGCTGCACCGTTGTTCTTTCCAGCAGAGAAAAACGAGCTTACGACTCGATACACGTGAAAATGTTCACGCGTGGGAGTTCGAACGTCATCGTGTCGTTTGAAAAATACGCGATTCCCTCTGTCGTCGTCGCGCTATTGTCGTCCAAGTCAGCACTAAGTTACGGAGGTCGTTGACGTTGAAGAGAAACGTCATCAAGGATGAGATTATTGAATATTCAACGACGTAGCTTTAAATGTTGTTCTGAAATTATAAATTCTTGATGGAGTTTCTTAAAAAGGAAATGAAAATTTCCTTGGAAATAAAATGAGAGTTTGTGTTTTTCTTATACGAATTGAATTCCAGATTGAATTTGCAAGTGAAATGAAAATTTGTCATTTATTATATGAAATAATAATCGATTATATTTTTATTACATTCTAGATAATATTATTTCAAGAACATACTGTTAACTTCTTATTTCTGTCCTTTGTTTAAATTCATCAACGATATATTCTACATTACTCGCCGTATTAGCCTATAGTCATTTCAGCCAGTTGCAAAATTGATCTGACCTTCATTATCTATACGATCTATTTAACTTTAAATTTAACAATTTATTAGGTTGCCCAAAAATTTCTTTCATTTTATAAGGAAATAATAGCTGTTCCAATAGAACAAAACACATAATTCAATAAAATAATATGAAACAAGAAATATTGTGCATCTATTATTTCCTTATAAAACGAAAGAAACTTTTGATAT